TAGTTGAGCTACTTGGTGTTGGGATAGTGTTCTCTATTCATGTTGGGTTTATTTTTTTGGTGAACTTTTTGAAGTATTGTTATTTGTATATAGAGATGCTGAACGACCTTGTTGTTTGGAGTCCTTTCTCTTAGGTGCCATTGTGAAAAAGGAGAAAGAGTTTTTTTTTTTTTTTTGAGTCGTGGGTATTTACTATCAAGATCATATATATTATCGCAGGTGCGTCATAGGTAGAATTAAAAGATTATAAATAAGTAAGATAAATTTTAAGCTCAGTAGTTAATTTATTACATCATTAATAAGTAATATTAAATTAATTATTAATTAATTAGTTAAAATCATACATTACATAATTATAAAAAATAATATTTAATAAATGCATTTGATTTCATATTTTTTTCAAAAAGAATCCAAATTTTTTGAAAAAAATTAAAAATTTTTTTAATTCTTCTTCAATAATATCTACTTAGAATGACAATGAAGTAAGAAAAGAAAGGAAAATAATGCTCAATACCATGCATTAGTGTTTTGCAAAAAATCCGATTCAATCTGAATTTGATCTGGATCTGACAGATCAGATCGAATTAGATTTATCAGATTCGAATCAGATTCAGATCTGAATTTTGATTTGATTCGATCTGTCAGATCCGGATTGGTTTTGGATTTAGATTTGATTCAATTTGACGAATTCAGATTTGGATTCAGATTCGATCTGTCAGATTTGGATTTGAATTCAGATCCGATTTGTTGGATTTGAAATAAAAAATGCTGTCCGAAGTCAAATGCAGCATTTATTATTAAAAAAATTTGATTTTTAATAATAAAATGCCACCCAAAAGTCAGATGTGGCATTTATAATTAAAAAAATTTGATTTTTAATAATAAAATGTCACCCCAAAGTTGGACGCAGCATTTATTATTAAAAATATTTGATTTTTAATAATAAAATGCCGCCTAAAAGTCAGACATGGCATTTATTATTAAAAAATTAATAAAAATTAATTTTTAATAACAAAATGCCATGAAAGTCAGAGGTGACATTTATTAATAAAAAATATATAAAAATTAATTTTTAATAACAAAATGCCATTCCGAAAGTCGAACGCGGTATTTATTATTAAAAAAATTAAATTTTAATAATAATATGCCACCCAAAAGTCAAACGCGACATTTATTAATAAAAAAATTAATTTTTATTAATTTTTTATATTAAAATGTCGCCCTAAAAGTCAGACGCAGCATTTATTAATAAAAAAATTAATTTTTATTAATTTTTTATATAAAATGCCACCCTGAAAGTCAGATGTAGCATTTATTAATAAAACAATTAATTTTTAATAATAAAATGCCGATCCAAATGTCAGAGGCGGATTTTTTGTTAAAAAAACAAAATTGTTATTTTTTTAACATTAAAATACCATTCTGAATGTCAGAGGCGGCTTTTGTTAAATAAACTACAATTTTGTTGTTTTTTTAACATTAAAATGCCATTTCGAACGTCGAAAGTGGATTTTTGTTAAAAAATTTTTTGATCCGTCAGATACAGATACGAATTCAGATTTGTCAGATTCAGATTCGCATTCGGATTCAGATTTGAATTTGTCAGATTTGGATTTGTCAGATTTGGATCGAATCAGATTCAGATTTTTCAGATTCAGATCAAATCAGATTTTGCCCAAATCTGATCTGATTTGATCTGTGCGGAACACTACCATGCACTTAGTGGTGGCACTTGTAAAAGAACATAGTGAACTTCACTTGCTGGAAGAATAAATCAAAAATTTAGAACAAATTTTTTAGGAAGACAGACAAGTGAAAAATTTCACGGAATAGTGAAAGATTGCAAGATAAATATATAAAATTATATAATATACCGCCATTATTTTTTCGAATATCAGTTAATTTGATATAATTGTTGATAGATAATGAAATAATTTCTTGCTGATAATCCCAAAGAAAAACAAACTAAAAATAATACTATGTATCATGAGGAATTTAGAACCTGTTTTTGGGTCAAACCAGATAAATGGTATTTTTTTTTCTTATTTTAAATCTTATTAATGAATTTAATTTAATTATATCAATATTTTAAGTTATTCATAGACCCAGACGACAATAACATCAACAACTTCAACAGTAGCAGTAGCAGCTACAATAACAATTACAACAACAGCAGTAGCAGCAGCTTCTGAAAATTCAAGAACAGCAGTAGCAGCTACAATAACAACTCCAATAGCAGCAACAACTGCTACAATAACGTCAACAACAATAGTTGATACAAATAACCGAATCACTTTTATCTTTAAGTGATTCTAATAATGAAGGAGAAGAAGAAAAGAAAGTGGGCACAAGTCAATCAAGTTGGAAAACTAATCATGATGATGAGTGAAGGTGGGTTTATTGAGTTGAAAATATTTACTATATTTAAACATATATATAATTTTAACTTTTCTTTATAGTTATTTAATACTTGAGATTTATTGTGAGGTTTTTTTATAAATAATAATTACTATGTTAAGAGATGAGTTTTTTTAATTATATAATAATTACTTTTTGCAATTTGTAAAAATTTAACATAAAATTAATTGCTTTTATTATATTTTTTTTGCTTATTAAATAAATTAATTCAAAACCATTTTTATTTTCTAAGCGTATAAATTATGAAATTATTTGTTTTATACAATTAATATTAAGATTATATGATTAATACCCGGGTCTTAACTTAAGAATCATTGTTTTGCATCTAATAAAATACCCGGGTATATTATCATGGAGGTACTATCAAAAGGAGGTCTCTTAGGCAGTGCTTTATGGTAAAAGCTGCTTCTGATTTTCAGAGTAGATTATACTATTAAAAAAAGAAAACTTATTTTTTAATAATAAAAATTCTTTCAACTTTCAAGATGGATTGCATTATTAAAAAAATAAGTTTTTTTACTTTTTTAATAATAAAAGCCACCTCTGACTTTCGGGATGAATTGCACTATTAAAAAATAAGAAAAACTTATTTTTTTTAATAATAAAAGCTGTATCTGACTTTCAGAGTGGATTGCACTATTAAAAAAAATAAGTTTTTCTTATTTTTTAATAATAAAAGCTACGTTTAACTTTTAAGATGAATTGCATAATTAAAAATAAGTTTTTTTATTATTTTATTAATAAAAGCTATATCTGACTTTTAGAGTAGATTGCACTATTAAAAAATAAGGTTTTCTTATTTTTTTTAATAATAAAAGCTGCCTCTGATTTTCAGCAGATTATAGTATTAAAAAATAAGTTTTTATTTTTTTAATAATAAATGTTATGTCTGACTTTCAGAACGGATTACATTATTAAAAAAATAAGTTTTCTTATTTTTAATAATAAAGCTGCTTCTGACTTTTGGGGCGGATTATACTATTAAAAAAAGAAAAACTTATTTTTTAATAATAAAAGCTGCTTCTAACTTTTTGGAATATATTGTACTATTAAAAAAATAAGTTTTTCTTATTTTTTAATAATAAAAGCCACTTCTGATTTTTAGAGCGATTATACTATTAAAAAATGTTTTTCTTATTATTTAATAATAAAAGCTGCTTCCAATTTTCAGAATGGATTACATTATTAAAAAATAAGTTTTTCTTATTATTTTAATAATAAATGCTATGTCTGACTTTTGGGATAGATTACACTATTAAAAAAATAAGATTATATTATTTTTTTTATAATAATGTTACCTTTAACTTTTAGGACAGATTATATTATTAAAAAAATTATATTTCATATCTAACAGATCTGATTTGAATCCAAATCTAAATCTGACAGATTGAATCTGTATTCAAATCTGAATTTGTTATATTTAATCAAATTTGAATTCAAATTTGATCCAGATTTGATAAATCAGATTAAATCTAAATTTGGATTTGAATTTGATTTGAATCAAATAAAACCAATTTGATTTGATTTATCAGATTTAGATTGAATTCAGATTTTTTGCAAAACATTAGTCTTTATACTTTTTTTTTTAAGATCAGCAGAGACGAAATTGGTAAAAGACTGAAAAAATCAAATAATACTGATTTTGGTAAAATAAAAACTTACTTAACTCTAAATTGAATGATTAAATTGAGACTAAACTTTACCATTTTTCAGTTTTTAATCAGTTCTGTTACACTACAAAAAATTAGAATCACAACTTTATTACTTTTCTGAAAATTTTTAAAGATCGATCAAGACCAATCAAAGGTCACAGGATCGATTGATCATCTCTAGAGATAGCATAGATATTGGGTATCAGAATTGTAATTTTTTTTTAAAATATCTCATATATATTTTTTTCTTATAAAAATTTTTATATTATTTTCTTTGTAATTTCAAATTACGATTTTTCTTTTTGTTATTTGCAAATTCGCTGTAACTGTGTTGCCTATGAAAATTCTGATAATAACAATCTTGAATTCTAGCTGAGAATAATAAATATATTATTTAAGAATGCTATATTAATAGCAAAATTTATCAAATGGCATACATATTGTTAAATTGTTGATTTTGATTTTGAAACCGCAAATGAATTAATTAACCAATAAAATACTAGGCACGTGATTAACCGTGGTTTTAAACCGGCAGTTTTTGAACCGAACCGAACAATAACATACCTAATATAAAAAAATTGATTCTGATTTAAAGTAAAAATAGCCTAATATGAACATACCCCTCATTTTCATTATAATATTACCAAAACAAACAATTTTTACAAATCAAATTTTTGAGAATTTTCTTGAACAAATCACACGAAAATCTTTTATTTGTATAAAAATTCGCAGTGAAATTCATCAAACTTTTCGTTTCACCAAGTGTATTTTAGGATAAAAGGTGATGTTGATAATAATATCAAAAATGGTTAAGTATTATGCAAAATCTGCCAAAATACAGTCACGAGATATGCATGAAATCTGAAACACGACGTTTCAAAAATCATTTAAATAATACTTCAAAAAAAAAAGATCAAATTATTAATGAACATGATTTGTTTTTATTATTTAAGTTTTTCTCTGCTCTCCGCAGTTTTGGTGAATAGTGCTTTAATTCCCAATAATAGAGTTATTGTCAATAATGATTCTGACGATTATACTTTGGTAGAGGGAGTTACTTATAATATTGTACATTTGAGGTCCCATATGAATTTAAATGACGACGGAAATTATGATATATACGCCAAAAAATCACCTTCATATTGGTCCATGCGGAAAGTTTACGGTAGTGTGTATAACATCGTTGAATTGATTTCTGGCAGGTATTTAGACAGCAATTCTGACAAAGTTTATACCAGTACACCGGAAGAAAATAACCCTTATCAACATTGGGAATTTACAAAGGTTGAGAATAATACGTATAATGTTGAGCATTTGATGTCTCAATATCGGAATTTAGATAGCAATGGTAATTCGGTATATATTGGAGCAAGTAACGACGAGAATAATCCTTTTCAACGCTGGTCATTTGAACCTGCAAATTATAAATTGAACGCATTAGTGACAGAATTTGCATACCCTTCAGATTTAAAGGATAAACTAGATCAATATAAAAAACGTACCAAACTTTTACTTAGTAATATTACAATCAAGAACCCAACAAATGCAACGATAACAACAACCATTGAAAGGACCGAAAAGAAAGTGAATAGTTATGCTCTGGAGATTAAAAAGTCGGAATTCTTAGGTGAAAGAGTTAG